ACACGAAGAGGACCGCGTCGAGAGTCCGGAGCCTCCATCCCTGTCAAGGAGGCCGACTGATCCGGTTGACCTGCAGCTGGAAAGGCCACCATTTGCAAGCAACGAACCGAATGCAGTTTATGGACCGTCACGGGCTCCAGCTGAGGTCCGAGGAGGTGACCCACTCAGCCCAGCATCTCGCGCAGTCCGGCTTGTCTCACCGCAGGAGTTTCCTGGATATCCGAAAGTGAGTTTTTTTATCCGAATTTCTTCCTTAAACCGATAAAGCAGCAATGACAAAATAACATTAAACAGACCCCAGATCGCCCATACGATCCTTTAGAAAACATTGTTCATTGTTGAACTGCCTTATATTTTCGTGATTATAAATTTCCTCTCATTTTCACCTTTCCTATGTTCGTTAGTTATGGTGTAATTCCGTAAAATATAGTTTTTTAATGGATAATTTTGTAACTCGAAGTATCCTCCAGTCGGCCATGTTGTCCAATGCCTATGCCTATGTTCCATAACCGTATCCTTACACTTCCTGGTCCTCCATCTTTTAAGGCAGGACCCAAGGTGCAGCCGAGTCGTCGAGGGCGAAACAAGGAAAGACCATGATAGCTTCGAGTACACCAGAGCTGCAGAGAAAAAAGAGGAAGAGGAGAAGAAGACCCGAAATACGCAGGCCAAACACGAGCGTGTGTCAAAGCAACTGTTCGATGCCAAGAGCAACACCGCTGACACGAAAGGTAAGAAGGGAAAGCTGGGAGGTGCAAAGGACTTGCCAAAGGCTGACGATAAAGCGTCGTGTCTGTACTGTGGGATGCAGTAAAGGCTCAGCTGTGAATCGTGCATCCAGTGTACAACATGCAAAAAGTGGGCGTGCTTGCCGTGTACCGACCCAACAGCCTGACAGGCACAGTTTGTATGTGACCTCTGCCGAGACTGGTGATCCACTCATCCGCTGTATCCGATATGATCCGCTGTGTCGCGGGTATCGCATTGGCTGTGCTGATTTAACGTGATTAGTACGATGTGTGGGAAGCTTTGTGACCGTTTACGTTGTTAAATGGGTGCCTAGGATATGTACCGATATTGTTAGTCATGTGATCCGCTGTGTTGCCATCAACGCATTGGCTGTGCAGATTCAACGTGAGTAGCACGATGTTCAGGAAGTGTCGTGACAGTTGCTTTGCCTGTTTGGTGCTTAGACTGCCGAGACTGTGAGTCCTACGATCCGCCGTGCTACAAGTATTACATTGGATGTGCTGAAACGTGATTATGCGATGTGTAGGAAGTTTTCGACCGTTGTCGCTGCTAGTATGTGCCTAGACTGCCAAGGTTGATAGTTATATGATCCGCTGTGCCGCAAGTAGCGCATTGGCTGTGATAATTTAACGTGATTATTACGACTGCAGGTTGTGTGGCGGTGTTGTCTGGCTGTGTAGACTGCCGACATTACTTCTAGCCGGATCTTATGTTAGAAATACCTTCCCGTTGTTGGGGTTCTTCTGCCAAGAACAAAATGGTTATTTGGAGGTGGAAAATATATACTGAGTTCACGTTCTAAAATGTGTCTCAGTTTTAACACGAGATGAATGAATCTGATATGCTACCATTTTCAGCGGAAGGAAACGTTGCCACGACCATTGACAAGCTCCTGAACGCAAGTAGATGGCAGTGCAGTCCGCTCATTTTACCATTTGCAATTTACTTATAGGACATGTAGTCAAGTGGAAACTTTGTCCCAATGCTACTTAGTATGTCTCAATTCATATTCACGTCTGTCCCGATTCTCCTGTGTTCGTCCCGATTCTGCTGTAAATGAAGGCCTTTGTTTTTGCTCCACGCGAGTCGCATCCTACCACAGAGTGAAATTTACCTATTAGTACAGTGCAAATAAATATTCAATTTATTTATTAGTATGGTGCAATGTTACCTAGCTTTCATACTTTTGCTGCAATAACTCTTCAAAGTTGAAGTTGCAAGTGTCCCAATTCTCCCGCCTCTCCCCTACTTACTTCATGACGCAGCCTTGAAATGTGGTGAAAATGATATCGTCATGCAGCCGAAGGCTACGTCCATCCAACATGAAGCATAACAGACACACCGACCTGTGACCCATCCTGCCAGGTCAGCCTACAACAGCTTTGTGGTACGTCAGGCGCCTGATGCGGGCTTGATGGGTAGCAGGTTGTTTGTTATGGTACCTGGAGGCCCTCTTACTTACTTACACTTACTTACATTTACTTACACTTACTACTTACTACTTACTTACTTACTTACTTACTTACAGACTGAAATTATACGGCTAACCTAGTACTCCAGGTCCCTTTACTAGTACTTTACCCTTTGAATGCGTTTTCCTAGGTCCAGACGCCAGTCTATCTACCAGAATATACGTTGTTCATTTTTCGGAAATAATATTTGACAACGCCCGACTCGCAGGTTTCACATGAACGTTGACCTGTTTCATGGCATAGTGGCAAGAAAAAAACCGTTGCCAGCTGTGGCCTGCGGCCGGTGGCAGCGGTCGCGCTCAAGGTCAGGCAATGTAAGAGGGCAGGGCAGACTGCGCCGAGCATTGTCGATATACTTTCGCCACCACATGCTGCCGTTGATTTGGAATTGCACGCCCGAGTGATGGGCGTTGGCAGGGATGGCGAATGTCACACAAGCACTGCTTGGCGTAAGCTCTGGTCCCAGAAATCCGTCCATTCAAAAGGTTCAGATAAAAATTTTTTAAAGATAACTGGAGGGGAAGGCCTTTAGCCCTCTCCCCAACTTGGACCCCCAGCCGCCCTATCCCAATTCTGAGAGAGAGGTGGGCCAAACGCGGGAGAAATTCGCTCGCTAATGAGTTTTGTGAGCAGAATTCATAACTTTTCGCGATTCAGCCCCAACCCATCTCACCTTGCGAAACGCCGCCCTGTATGTGCCGATTGAAGGCCAGCCGTCCTCAAAACGTCGACTCGCGCATCCCAGCCAGACATCCTGTCGGTACTCAGGTCACTTGTTGGCTCTCAAACTAGCTTGCAGAGTAATTAAGAGAATATTGCAAGTCTGCCGACGCGTTTTCACTTCAATTTTACCGTGACGCCATAGGCGTCCCTGAAATGTTGCCAACACCTTTTCGGGATCACGGAACCCAGGGCTATATATTTCGGGATCACGGAACCCAGGGTTGTATATTTCGCTTTGAATGGGCAAAACGAATTCGCTATCTTCAGAGATCGATATGGGTGGCGCAAAAAGAGGTTTGCGGTTAGCACTTGCTTGCGGTTAGCAAAACGCTACCGGCCAATGCGAGGCAAATTACCGGCGACGCCATACCATGACCAACAATTTTAAGCCAGGGACAACATATGAGTAAAAAAGAACATTGGGTATGTTTTTGTCGTCCGTCCCCGTCGGGCAGCCCGGACAATAAAACATAAATGGAGGAAATATTGCACGCCATTATGTAACATAATTTCTAGCATCCCGCGACTCACGTTTCATTTTGCAAACCGCACGAGCCACCAGTTGACGCTCCTCAGGCAATACGAGGGCCTGTCTGTTATTACCTTACCTCCTGTTCCCATTACATTTACTCCTGCCACCCTAGCGTGATAATGCATGCAGGAACGAGAGCGAGAAAAAAGTAATTACATACGCTAGATAAACACAATCTCGGCAAAGTGTAGACATGCTCCTGTCAGAAATTATTTCGCATCACATCTTGCTTCCGCTCAGTCTCGCCAGCGCTCAGCACTCATATCGCATGCCGCTTGCCCCACCATTCTGCCGAATGACTGCAGACAGGCAGCAGCAGCATCCGTTGACTCAGGACGTGGGTGTGTGAGAAAATGAGGCGATGAAGGAACAACCCATACCGGAACAATACGAATTAAAGTAGATACGGACTCTGACTAGGAAACAAATTCCGCAACAGGCAGTTCCAAAATGTAACGGAACCGCCGGGCACGTCAAACATGATTCAGGACCCAATCACTACTTGAACCCAGGTTTGATGATCCCGGCAAAATCATTAGACCTGCTTCCATTCTCGCCGCGGAGCCCCTAACCCCGCCGAATGCGAGAGAGACGCGACCGCCAGCCCGGCATCGGCACCAGACGCGCAATATGTCCAGCAGCCCGTCGGCCGACGCCCCAGAAGACAGGCATCTATAATCTGTTAGTCGCCCCCAGGGACATCTGTCGGCGGAACATCCAACTAGCGGCGTCCCCCGGCGGAGATGTGATTATCAATCCGGCGCTCGCGCGGCCGTCCGCTAACAGGTCTCATGTTTAGTTGATGCGAGAATTTCTCCTGGGAGGCGATTTCAATTACACGGCGGCATCAAGTTTTCAGCGGCGCGATTGATTCGTCCAATTTGTCGAGCCGTCGGTGGGGCGGCGCGCCGGCCGGCGGCAGGCCCCTCCCCCGCCGTCACGCCCCCAACATTGTCATTCTAATATATTCCGGAAACAAATTGAGTAGAAAGAAAAGCACTCGCGGGGGCCGCGCACGATTGAACAACTTGGAATAAAGTTAACTTTCCGACGTAAACGGCCGCTATAAACTTGAAGGAGTGGCGGCGCAGGCGGCGCAGGGCGACACCGCTGGAGATTTGCCGCCGGCCGAGACACGGCGGCGGCGTGGAACGACGTCAGTGGCGACCGCGGCGCCCGCCGGCCGCATTACAACGAGTCGGCGGCGGCGGCGGCGCGCCGCACCATTGATTGGCCGCCGCCTCCGCCGCCCCGTCGGGCGCGAGGTGTTCGCAGCGCGCTCGATGTTCCGCCACAGACGCGTCCCATCTCGGCCTGGCGCCGCTCCCATACGCTCGATTGATTTCAATTAGTGTATTGCGGCATCGGCGGGTCGGCGGGGAGGCCACAGGCCGGGGTCGCCCGGTGCTCCCGGAGCGGGCGCCGGGGCCGGGAGCAGCTCCTCGGAGCGCCAGCGTCCCAGGCGCACACGCTCGGTACAAAGCCCGGGTTGGCGGAGCACGAGCGGGCGGCGGCCCGCGCCGACCAGCGCCACCGCTGGTACGGTTGACGCCGGCCACCCTGGCCGGCCGACATGATGGGAATGAGACGACACCGCCAGCGCGCACACGATGATGCAGATGAGGTGACAGTGATCCGCCCGGCCGCGCTACTCGATCTCCCCCAGGTAGATCTGCTTGTCGCTGGAGCAGGACGCCACTGGCGGCAGAGGGTACGTTCGTCAGACACGCGTGGCGCCGCCGACCGGCCGGGACGGATCATCCACCGACATCGGGGATGGGGGTGCGATCCGCCCCGCCGCGTTACTCCATCTCCCCCAGGTAGATCTGCTTGTCGCTGCAGCAGGACGCCACTGGCGGCAGAGGGTACGTTCGTCAGGCACGCGTGGCGCCGCCGACCGGCCGGGACGGATCATCCACCGACATCGGGGATGGGGGTGCGATCCGCCCCGCCGCGTTACTCCATCTTCCCCAGGTAGATCTGCTTGTCGCTGCAGCAGGACGCCACTGACGGCAGAGACGACAGGGCGCCACGCGTGCCTGACGGTTCGTCGGGCACGCGTGGCGCCGCCGACCGGCCGGGACGGACCATCCGCCGATATCGGGGGTGTGTTGCAACGTAGATATTCCTTAATACGTGACGGCACATATGATCTTGGTCGGACGCGTTCGCGGCGCGGGCCCGCTTTCTGTTTACACTTTCGTAAACCTAGAAAAATAAAAGCACATGTGGGGTACTAGCAAGTTTCTTCGCCCGACGACGCGTGCACCTTACCCATGGTAACGGTAAACCACGGTATTTCATGGATGGAAGGATTGTTGTGACTTCTGTTCTCGTCTGGTGAGATCGTAAGCAAACGGCGCTCCGGCCGTTGCCTCTTCGCCTGTCATCAGCTGTTGCTGAATCCTGCGAAAGACTGGGTGGGGTTTCGCTTTCTGCCATGCGCACGACACAACCAGATTTTTCTCTCTGCAGTTGTTGGGATATGAGCTGGGTCCTCTGATTATGAGTCTCTACCACTAATTTACCCCTCCTCTGCCACGGTGTTTGTCGGAAAGGCAAAAAGGGTGGGTCAGTATTTTCCGGTTAGCTCAGTGGTAGAGCACTAGACTTGTGATCACAGCCGGCCCGAATCCCCGCATTTACAAGGAAGACATTCGGATGGAGATGCGCACATGGCTGAAGGCCAAGTTCGCGGCACTATCCCGCCCTTCCCGGGACTCCATATCATCTGGCGACGGCTTGGGAATCAACTGACTGAAACGTTCTGTAAACACCAACGCACGAGACGGGGACGATGGTCCGAAGTTATCTCATCCATGATACTAATATCTCGTCTCAATCATATCATTAAGCCAAAACTACGCTGTTTCTAGCGTATGGCACGCTTTTCCTTCATCCATCTTCAGTTGTGGGCGCACAGACTAACCTGTCTGTAAATGAATCTGCTGCTCCCTTTGTCTCACCTTGACCAAGCTACGAAAAAGAAGTTTCGCGCCCAACACAGATCATGCGTTACGTCAGGTAGAATTCTTATTGTCCGGGTCCCCGCAAAACACCTAAAGGCGCAAGATCTTTGGGGCATAAATTCATGAAGTACGTCAACGGCACAGTCTTTGTTATTCAAGTCGCTGCGAATATGTCCTCGATCCTGGGTGTGTGGAAGGCCGGTAAGAGGCGCTAAGGCACAGGCAAGCATAACACCGACACTTTAATCAACTTTCAGTCCACGAATGCAGCCACTTGTTGCCCGTGTCATGAAGAATTGTTGCGCGTTTTGAATAATGGATGCTTGCTGGTACTCGGATTATGTTGCGATAACAGCCGCTGAACGGGAAATCAGCTTTCCGCCGCGACCATTCGGTGATCGTCACTTCTGTCCCCAAGCGCTTGTCGCTCATAATCCTGACCCAAATGTTATGTCGGAACGGTAATAAGCCGCCGATGGCTGTGCAGGAGTGAACATCGAGCAGCCGTACCAGAAACATGGAAAGATCGTCAATGTTTATCTGGTTTCATCATCACGCAATCAATCCTAAACGTCCGTTTGCCGGCGGATGTAGTTTGTACATGGTGGCGACCGCTTTTTCCGGCGATGGATCCGGCTGAGCCGCATCAATGGTCAACGGCGTGCGACTCATGTCGGCTATTTCTGTGAACTAGCTTACGTTAGAAGCGTTACACGCAAGAAGCTCGATGAAGTCCAGAGGATAGCATAGATCTACCGATTTATGAAAATAGCCAACGCCTGGCTCAGTACTTTATGACATTAAGTAAACAACATACTAATAAACAATCATACGCCAATACATTGCTACCTAGTACCAGTGCAGTTGGCGTCTTTTAACACACGCATGAGCTCAAAGTTAAGTCGTGCCAATCCCTGTATCGTCAATTGCATTGACCAGGAATACACCTCACCCGGTTAAGACTACATTCCGGTATAAACTGAAGAGTCAAAAAAGCAAAACCGTATTTCGTTTTTTGACGCCTATCACTTGGGGCAAGGTTACACAAAATGAGTTGGTGGGATGAACAGCAAAAAATAGTTCAGTCTAACCCCCCACAAAAAAAACGCCAACAAACGGGTATTTCCCCGGATTTCACCCACTTTGTTTTCAACGTTGGGGCGTGGAGGACCCAATACCACAACAGCATGAACAAATCTATTTTTTGTTGTAATATCCGTGTGAGACTCCACACCTTGAGCCTTCGACCCTGGACTATGCCTTAAGCAATGCACCATTAGAGACCCCACGAGGAATTAAAACGCAAGTACTGCCACAGACAGATTGGTATTCATTTTGTAGTAGCCTCCGTCATGACACCGTCAGATGCATGCCACTAATGTAATATTTACAGACACCCTCAGATGCATGCCATTAATGTAATATTCACAGACACCTTCAGATGCGTGTCATTAATGTAATATTTACAGATATCTTCAGATGCATGCCACTAATGTAATATTTGCAGACACCTTCAGATGCACGCCACTAATGTAATATTTACAGACACCTCCAGATGCATGCCATTAATGTAATATTTACAGACACCTTCAGATGCATACTATTATTGTAATATTTACAGACACCTTCAGATGCATGCCATTAATGCAATATTTACAGAAACCTTCAGATGCATGCCATTCATGCATTATTTACAGGCACCTTCAGATGCATGCCATTAATCCAATATTTACAAGGTATTCAGCCAATATCAACATTAGTCAATTGCACCAAATGCATTGGCCAATTGCACCTGTAATTTACTTGGCGATGATGCTCATCGCCAAGTGAATTACAGGCGCTTCCGTCACCTCACTTCCAATGAGTTGCCAGTCAGAATTGCAGCAAGCTATGTTGAAGCAGTTGGCTGCGCTTTGGCCGGCTGAACCGGACATTGCTACGCTTTATTAAACGACACTCCCGTAATTGTATGTGACTGCAATGGCTCAATATCATGGACGAGGTGTCAACTATGCACTGTAAACACATTTGTGGCATGTTATCTGTAACGAGTGGGGAGACCCCAACACGTTCTCCAAGCTATACCATTAGCATGCTGACATTACACTGGCAGTACTGGAAAAAGTATATAAACTAACATTTAAGCTCAAATTTAAGATCATTCGAGTAGGAACAAGCACTGAAATCGCTGGCTTTTTGTCTGGTTCCCACTGGCAACATAACGTTTGGAAACTCCTCACTGCAGAACAAAATGTATATCAGTTGCGCGCTGGAACACATGGCCACGAAACATTACAAAGACATGCCCATCAACTAATGTGTGACAGTTTAGCATATAATCATACCAAAATTAAATGTGCACTACTAATTATGTCTTCCTGTATTACAGTGCAGCCTTGATTTCCGGTGCCAAGCTCAAGGGTTTTCTGCACAATCTTCACCTTGTGCAAAACAGTGACCAGACCTTGGGCCAATGACAAACTGGTACCGTAAGATGTGGACACCTCCTCGGTGGCCAATTCAATACCGGCCGCCTTTGTGCTTGTCTCCTGGACGAAGAAATCGTCTCTAAAAATGCCATTTGCGAATATGATCCATTCTTAAAGGGAGTGTTGCGTATTTGTATGAGGGTTTGAACTGAAATAGCCATCGTGAGAATCCTTCGGTACAGTTCACAGCCCTTCCCTTCTTAAAAACCTAAGCCCCCCCCCCCCCCCCTCTCAGTTTCTGAGCTACACGATCACGATGTGCAATTATTCGGGATACTATTTCAAGGTCACCCAGGCACCCGTAACGCCATCATAACAGGCATGCAAATTTTGCCATTCTATTAGCCATGCGGCAATCAAGGCTACGACAAACAAATTGTCCAGCCGTTCATAGCTGGCGTTCGTTAGCACAATGCCTAAATATAACGGCTATCAATCGTCTTTCAATCAATGTTGTGCAAGGTACCATGATGCAATCGATCAATGACGTATTCAGGAGCATACTTATTAAGAAGAAAACCTGCGTCGTCTAGTTTTGCCACTAACAGATTTACCAAAAATTATAGGAGAGCTTTTTCAGCACATCTAATGCTTCCTCACATCTCCAAATGTGGAGCATTCCCTTTAATCGTCAAGCAATAGTTTCAAAAGAGCTTTATCCCCATATGTGGAGAAAACATTTTGATTCTTCCCTTTACAGCATTTTGACTCTTCTACTCCCTAAGAGGATTTCCTTCTTCCATTGAACAATACCCGTTTCGGGAATCAAATCGTTGAACAAATCCCCACCGCCCACACAGCACACGTTCAGTATAACCCACAGAGCCTGAAGCCGAGTGGCCCACCGCCGACTCCCGTCTCCACTTGCTGACGTCACAACAATCGGTGGCCGGTACACCCACACACAGCACACGCGCAGCATAACCCACGGAATCTGATGCCGGGCGGCCAACCGCCGACTCCTGTCTCCGCCTGCTGACGTCACAACAATCGGTGGCCCGCCCGCCAGTCAAACAACCGCCAATAACGTTTCAGTGACTCAAGAAAAATGTCTTATGCGTTTATAAGTCAAAAGTTAATAGCATTTTCTTTCACATGAAGACATAAATCCTCACGTGTATTCAGCCAGCCGGTCCATTGGTGCTGTCTTTGCAATATCCAGTCATCCTGTCCGAAAAGGTCCGTTACGGTAACCTGTTCATAACCAGCAGGAAGTTGCAATATCCTAGTTTATGCACCCAGGTTTCGTCCACTTCGTTTCCCACCTGAGTGACGAAAAATGGCATGAATTTTGACGGCTGCCTGCAGCTTCAAGTGCACTAGCACAAGCCAACCGGAAGGTTTGCCCACCCACCTACAGCGTTACTATTCATACTATTGTTGGCCATCAAAATACGCATGCACGCTCATAACACCATTATAAGTAACATCACGCTAAAGCATGACTGTTCTTTCACTGTGACACCAATGCCAGCAGTTGTGCATTTATATTTAATCTATAATGACATTAAGCTGCTTCTTTACTGCAAAAGGTGAACAACAAATCTGCTCCAGTTCAATTCTTGTCTGTTTATGAGGCAAATATTTGCAGTCACTACGCAACAACTAAGGATGACTTCAGTGAGGTCAGCGAAAGCGTTGAGTGACAATGGTCACACCATGTCAGTCTTGCATTGCTAGCTCTCCTCGAATACTGCCCGCCTTTGTACCTGAGCACTCCTCAGCACGCCCTGGCATGCAGTCCCATGCGTCATGAAGTAGCTTAGGTGACTGCGGGTAGGACCTAAGTGCGGCTGGTGTAATTCGCATTTGCATTTCATAACTGTGCCACCACACGATCAAGCGGGCAATGCTTTCAGTTTGATTAAAGCACGAATAGCAACATGTGCCGGCCGAAATCAAATTGCTGATAAAGGCTGGCCCAAAACGGAAATCCGGGAGTCAGAATCTGGCGTGCTGAGCAACCCAGTGGTGCATGTTTACACAATCTGAAGCACAAAAACAAAACAAACCGGACAGTTTACTCGTCACGCGCTGCAGTATGCGGTGACGGGGATCCCGGACAAGTTCACCTGCGCCGCTGCGGCGCGTGTCGGAGCCTGCCCGGCGCCTGGCCGGAGGAGCCCGGTCCGGTCCGCCGCGGGTGACCACGTGGAGGCACGCTCCGCTCTGGTCTACTCACAGATGGGCTCTGTCGGGTGGAAGCGGCAGTCGTTGACGCTGCCGTTGTGACCGGGCAGCTTGTACAGGATTCGCCGGCTGGTCGTGTCCCAGATGTACAGGTAGCGGTCAGAGCTACCGGCCGTTACCTTTCTGCCATCTGGCGACCAGTCGCACCGTAACAAGTTCTGAAAATAGACAAAAGGTGTCAGGTGCTACGCACGGTCTGTGGCTTTCAGGCCTGACCATGTAGGCCTCTTCCTCATCCACGCCATTTGCCGACGCATAACAGTTAACACCTCTTTCAGCAACGATACAAAGCATCAAGCCAGTCTGCCACAATGAGAGCACCAAATTGGATGAGCATGAACCACACTCGCGAACCACACAGAATACGAGCCGCAAATGTAATCTTTGAATAATTGGTCCCGGTCACAGCTACACAACACGCACCACACAGACAGCATTGCTACATTTACAGCCGGCCACATGTGGAAAAAGAACACCGATCTCAGAGCTGTAAGTCCGGTGGACGGGCCGCCCCATCGCCGGACCGGGACAGCCGACCTTCTCGAAGTTGTGCTGGTGGCCGGTGAGAATCTTGAGGCAGCGCTCACTGGGCGCGAACGGGCGCACGTCCCAGATTCTCAGCGAGTTGTCCATGGCGTTGGTGAGCAGGTACGACCCGTCCGGCGACACGGACATGCCCGTCACTGTGTCTGAGTGTCCTTTCATCCGGTACAGCACGGCGTTCTTGCGCAGGTCCCACACCTGGGCGGCCGACACCCCAAACGTTAGTAACGACGTGTGGCAGACGTCACTGCCATGGAAACCGCACGTGCACAACAACATAAAGCGGCCACAGGCGTCAGCAGTCTCTGCTGCGAATCCACCCCTCCCGCAGGGTCGCCGCTGTCCCGGCCCGACCGACCTTGACCTCGTTGTCGAGCCCGCTGGAGAACACTTGCTCGGCAGTGTCGTTGAAGGAAACGGCCGTGACCTGGTAGGTGGTCTGGAGGGTGGCGCTGGGCGTCTTCTTGCGACCGTCCCAGACCCGCACGGTCGAGTCGTCGCCGCCTGAGCAGAGCTGGGTCGGCCCACGCCGCGCCGCCGACACCGCGTTCACGAACGTCGTGTGACCTGGCCACGGTGTGGGCGGGGGGGGGGGGGGGGAGGGCGAAACGCCAGTCAGGCAGAGGTAGATCCGACGCAGCTTAAACGCCGCCTGCGCCGACCACCGTGGCCTGCTCTACAGCTCCAACCAAGGGACCCTCTAGCTCCGGACGCCTGAGTGGGGTAGGACAGCCACTGGATTGAGGGGGACGACAGGCTGGGCTGGGACGGCTACAAAGCAAGTGAGCGGCCACATAATGTCACAAATCGAGCCGACACTGACACAACTGGCGACCAGAGCAAGTAACGGAGAATGCAACTGCAACTAACCTCAGTGCCAGTAACGCCATGGCGAGCCCAGCTGTCATTTGCCATTGGGACTTTACGACGCACTAAGGGGCTAAGGCTACGTGGCGTCGCCAGTCTCTCACCCTGGCGGGAAGGGTGGGCACCGCGGGAAATCGGACCACGAACCTCTGGTTTCCCACATGCCCAGCTGAACCTCTTCACTACCGGGACCGCGAGGCGCGCCGTTGGATCCGCTCGGCGCCAGCGCTCAGACGCCACGCCGGCTGGCAGAGACCCGCCCCGCCCAGACGGCCCCGGGCGCTCACCACGCAGTTTTCGGACACGCAGGCCGCTGACCACATCCCAGATCGCCACCGTTTTGTCGGTGCTGGCCGTGTAGAGCCGGTCGCCGTCGGTGGAGAAGCACAGCTCCATCACGGCCCCCGTGTGGCCCGCCATGCAGGCGAAGTTCTCACACTCTCCGTACGTGTTCCACAGCACTGGCGGTCAGGACAGCCGCGGTACAGTCAAACGGCCGCGGTACAGTCAAACGGCCGCGGTACGGTCAGACGGCCGCAGTACGGTCAGGTGGCCGCGGTACGGTCAAACGGCTGCGGTGCGGTCAGATGGCCGCGGTACGGTCAAACAGCCGCGGTACGGTCAAACGGCCGCGGTACGGTCAGGCGGCGGTGGTACGGTCAGGTGGCGGCGGCACGGTCACACGGCCGCGGTACGGTCAAACAGCTGCGGTACGGTCAAACGGCCGCGGTGCGGTCAGGTGGCGGCGGGTACGGTCAGGTGGCGGCGGTACGGTCAGGTGGCGGTGGTACGGGTCAGGTGGCGGTGGGACGGTCAGGGCGGCGGCGGTACGGTCAAGTGGGCGGCGGTACGGTCAAACGGCCGCGGTAGGGTCAGGTGGCGGCGGTACGGTCAGGTGGCGGCGGTACGGTCAACGGCCGCGGTACGGTCAGGGTGGCGGCGGTACGGTCAGGTGCGGCGGTACGGTCAGGGTGGCGGCGGTACGGTCAGGTGCGGTGGTACGATCAGGTGGCGGTGGTACGGTCAGGTGGCGAGGTACGGTCAGGGTCGCGGCGGTACGGTCAGGGTGCGGCCGGTACGGTCAAAGCGGCGCGTACGGTCAGGTGGCGGCGGTACTGTCAGGTGGCGGCGGTAACGGTCAGGTGGCGGCGGTACGGTCAGGTGGGCGGCGGTAAGCGGTCAGTGGCGGCGGTACGGTCAGGTGGCGGCGGTACGGTCAGGTGGCGGCGGTACGTCACACGGACGGGTCAGGTGGGCGGCGGTACGGTCAGGTGGCGGCGTACGGTCAGGTGGCGGTGGTACGGTCAGTAGCGGCGGTACGGTCAGGTGGCGGCGGTACGGTCAGGTGGCGGCGGTACGGTCAGGTGGCGGCGGTACGGTCAGGTGGCGGCGGTACAGTCAGGTGGCGGCGGTACGGTCAGAGGTGGCGGCGGTACGGTCAGATGGCAGCCATGGCGGAGTCGCCTGCTCACAGGTCATCTTGGGACGCACAGCACAAACACAACCCCGAAACACGACTGCCGGCACACCCCAACATCAGCTTCATCACGGAATATGAAGCTAAGCGTATTACTAATCTCATCGTGATAACCTTAATTTGCATTTCTAAAACGCACTTTCTAACGCCCTAAAATAGTCACATATATACCTTAAGTGCGCTGCATGGCAGCCATGGCACAGTTCAAGCCCATCCCCACAATATTCCCCTTGGCATCTGTTAATTTCTGGACGTTCGGCATCATAAATTCTGTCTACAGATACGTGTCTATAGATGAGTATAAAATGCAATACGAATTTAGCTCGCTGTTTTACACGTCTAGGGGAAATTCTACACGAACCAACAACATCAAGGATTATTGGGCAGGTGACCAACGCATCAGAAGACCCATGGAAAATTTCGCGGCCATCACTGCTCTGTGCACACTTCCCGGTGGAACGCAATAGCCCTCCCCAGAGGGGGGGGGGGGGGGGGGGGCGTCAGAGCTCGGGGCCGGGGGCGTGTCTCACGTATTTGTCGGTCGAAGCCTGTGGAGGCGAGGAACTGGCCCTCCGGGTGGAACCTAGTTGCAAATATGTCGCCGCTGTGCCCGGTCAGCAGCATGATGGGCGCCAGCAGGCTGGAGGTGCGCGCTGGCCCCTGCGTCTGATGGAACCGACACCCACCTCCAGTCAGCGCCGGTACACACCGCTAGGCCGGCCACCAACGGCGGCGGCAGCAGCAGTGGCATGCATACTCAGCTGGTGCATTCGGTGCCTAAGTCAATTCCAACTAAGTAAGAGCAAACTATTTTTTCAACAATGGTTTATTGGTTTTCTCCAGGTTCTACACGATGACAGCAAATGGCATCAGCATCAATACACCCCATGCCTTGCTGCAGTGCATCACACAATATATTGTAGCAAACCTGGTATATGGTATATGGTATGTATGGTATGTATGGTATGTCACTCTCTCTTGCTCTCTCACGCCCAGGCCCCCACGCCCCACGCCCGCTCCCTCTCCCTCCCCTCTCCCTCTCCCTCTCCCTCTCCCTCTCCTCTCCCTCTCCCTCTCCCTCTCCCTCTCCCTCTCCCTCTCCCTCTCCCTCTCCCTCTCCTCTTCCTCCCTCTCCTCTCCCTCTCCCTCTCCCCTCTCCCTCTCCCTCTCCCTCTCCCTCTCCCTCTCCCTCTCCCTCCTCCCTCTCCCTCTCCCTCTCCCTCTCCCTCTCCCTCTCCCTCTCCCTCTCCCTCCTCCCTCTCCCTCCTCCCTCTCCCTCTCCCTCTCCCTCTCCCTCTCCCTCTCCCTCTCCCTCTCCCTCTCCCTCTCCTCTCCCTCTCTCTCCCTTCTCCCTCTCCCTCTCCTCTCCTCTCCCTCTCCCTCTCTCCCTCTCCCTCTCCTCCTCTCCCTCTCCCTCTCCCTCTCCCCCTCTCCCTCTCCCCCTCCCCCTGCCCTCACCCCTCTCCCCCTCCCCCTTCCCCCTCCCCCTCCCTCCCTCCCCTCCCTCACCCCTCCCCCTCCCCCTCCCCCTCCCCTCCCCTCCCCCTCCCCTCCCGCTCGCGCTCCCTCTCTCTCTCTCTCTCCTCCTCTCTCTCTCTCTCTCCTCCTCCTCTCTACTCTCTCTCTCTCTCTCTCTCTCTCTCTCTCTCTCTCTCTCTCTCTCTCTCTCTCTCTGGAGTCTTACATAGCTGGCCACTTCATTACTGGCACCAGATGTGGCCAGTATGCCAGTCTTCTGTTTCTTGGCTGCCACCATCTGCAGTTCATTGCCCTTTCTCTTCTCAGTCATTGTAGGAACTGGCTTCCCTGTGTAGCAGATCACACAACAGGAGTCAGACAAGTGGACAGTTTGATGAAGATGATGAAGATGTGGGACAGATGGGACTCTTTCTATTTTAAAGCAATGTTTGGTATGATTTTACCATGAACAGGAAAGAGGCTGTTGATTGGTAATACCTAAAAAACCCTAACCACCACATCAGTACCATAAAGTGGGACCTGTTTGATATGCAAAGATAAAGTGGAACAGGCTTTATGCAGAGCAGTTGATGAAACTCAGCAGATTTGACAGATGCACAGCAAATAATATAAATGAATGATCACAAATGATTTCATAAATCAAATAAGGACATGAAATATTATCCCACTTACTTAATTCAAAGCTGAAGTAGAGTTTCAACTACATTTTACATTAGGCAAATTAATTATTCACTTATACACAAATGTATGCATCAAAACCCATGCTAACACATTCATTTATGAAAGTGAGACCATGTTTGCCTTACAAAATAAAAAAGAGCAGACGTTGCAAAACAGTCTGCAAAACTCAGCAGATTTCAAACATGCATAGTGTGGGGTTATGTGAGATATGCTAGGGTATGCAAGATTTGAGATATGCCTTTCCATAACATAATAAACACTATCTTAAGGAGTTTCAAGTCATACAGATTGGATGCACATAGAATACACAATATGACCTACATCACTCATGCACATCTATAATGCAAATTAACAAATAACATCATTCAATTAAACCTGAAACCAGCCAACACAGTGATACTGTAATAATGACAGGCAATAGCAGAGAATAAGGACAAGAAAGAACATGTTTTGGGCACTCAAGAGAGCACTGGTAACTAAAATTTGAAGGCATTGTATTGTAGCCATGATGAATGACAGTAATTACATCAGGGTTGTCCATAACTATGATACACAAAGAGGGGAAGAGGGGGTACTGATGGAGCATTACAGAAACATAACAGAGAGGGAAGGGGCACTTTGGTTAATGTAAGCCTATAGATAGTCAGACATGATTGCAGATAATGCTGAAATCTTCAACAACAAAAATCAAACTGCAAACCTTGACATTGTTGCCTTTCTCTCATGATAGGTACTATTTGCCACTATTGCCATGCCACTATTTTTCTTGCTTCTCTAGCCCAGTTAAGGGTTGACAGCCACCCCCTTTTAAGATGCTGCACTTATCTCAGTTGTGGAGTAAACAGGAGTAGGTACAAGGAGGTTTACCAAGGAAAACCATTACTAGCGAGTGACAAGAAAAATGGCTAAAAAGTGGCACCAAATGTGTAACACTTCATGGACTGCCCAATTTAACTCCCAAATGCTGACATGTGCTTTCCATGCCTCAACTTCCTCTTTCCTATATCAAGGATTGCTGAAAGTATAATAAAATATTTCATGCATTCTTGTTACCTTGGCCCCATACATTTTTATGGTTCTTGATGCTGCTTGCTGCGCAGCAATGTGACCGCGCGCAGTAATGGCGCCGGTGTCGCGGCCGCTGTGTGTGCGCGGCGCTCGGGAGTTCGCCATTGTAACTATAAAAAAATTTGAAGGTAAGAGCATGAATCTACCTGTTTTGTGATCATTTACGATATGTCCTGCCTTAAACACAACAAATGGTGTACAATGATTTTTTCTAATGTTGGGTAGGAAAGTACACCCTGACCGTAAGTAATCTAAAAACAGGTAGATTCATGCTCCTACCTTCACATTTTAACATTTATGATAGCGAGCTCCCGAGCGCCGCACGCACCCCACTGCCTCGACTCCCCAGCGCTGTTTCTGCGTTGCCGCTGCATAATTATAATGTTTCTGCTTATCAAGAACCATACAAAATGTACGAGACCAAGGTAACAATAATAATGCAATGAAAAACGTTTCTTATCGCGTCTAGGTACGTTTATGAAACAGACAGGCCAGAATAGTCCAGAACATAGCCTAAACTGGACTAGTCCAACCTAACCTAACCTAATTTAATGTAACCTAACCTGGCCTAGCCTAACAACCTAACCTAACCAAACCTGACCTAACCTGACCTGACCTGACCTGACCTGACCTGACCTGACCTAACCTAACCTAGTCTAGCATAGTCCATCAAGAACCATACAAAATGTACGGGACCAAGGTAACAATAATGCAATGAAAAATGTTTCTTATCGCGTCTAGGTACGTTTATGAAACGGACAGGCCAGAATAGTCCAGAACATAGCCTAAACTGAACTAGTCCAACCTAACCCAACCTAACCTAACCTAACCTAATTTAATGTAACCTAACCTGGCCTAGCCTAACAACTAACCTAACCTAACCTAACCTGACCTGACCTGACCTGACCTGACCTGACCTAACCTGAACCTGACCTGAACCTGACCTAACCTAACCTAACCTAACCTAACCCAGTCTAGCATAGCCAGTAATTTTTTTACTTTGGTACCTGTACGGCCGACGGAGGGAAGAGCTACGCTGGCTGCAGGGTTTCGAGTACTGGTGTGCTGGGGAAATGCTGAGGCATCAGCTGTCATTGTGACGTCACTGAAAATGGTTTGCATAGATCGGGATCGTGTTTTTTTGGGGGGGGCCGACTGAAGGCCAAAAAACTTTTGCTAGTGATATGTCACTGGTATTCGGCTGGGTATGTGACGTCACTGGTCGTGAGTTTTTAAGGCTCTTTTGGGTCCACTGAATGCCGTAAGGCATCAGCTGGCGATGTGTCGTCACTGGTATTCGATTAGACATCAGGCGCGTCCGGCCTCATTCCGTGTTTACTTTTCGTACCTGTCTACTGCAAGCATTTGCGTGCCGCATAAAGGTTTGACCGAATCACCTGAATGTGTGATGTCACCAATTATCACTTAATACGAGTGCACTTAGGCCCCACGGCCACGGTGTGCTATGGTCCGCGAAGTATCACCGGATAGCGTGACGTCACTGGTATTCGAATAAATACTGGGTGCAACAGGCCGTGCTTCATTTTTTCCTCTGAACCCGTCTACTGCAAGCACTGACGTGCTGGATGAAAGCTGCCGAACCACCTGAGTGTGTGACGTCACTGGCCATGAGTTTCACCGGTGCTTTTGGGCCAACTGAAGGTCACAAGGTGTCAGCTAACGACGTCACTGCCATATGACTGATTGTACGACGTCAATGGTCGTGGGTTTTCACGGGCCCTTTAGGACCGACGAAATGCCGTAAGGCATCAGCTGGCGATATGAAGTCACTGGTATTCGGCTGAACATCAGGTAACGGCCATGCTCCATCTACACCTTTCGTACATGTCTACTGCAAGTATTGGCGGATTTTTTGCGGCCAATTGAAGACCATAAAGCATCAGCTAAGGATGTGACGTCACTGGCATTCGACTGTGCGTGATGTCACTGGTCATGAGATTGGTCGGCCTCTTGTGGGCCGGCGAAGGTCATACGGCATTAACTGATGATGTGACGTCACTGGTGTTCGAATAAACTTCAGGCGCGGCAGGCCATGTTCCACCTTTACCCTTGGTACATGTCCATTGCAAGCATTGCCGTGCTGCAGGAAGGCTCTGCCGAATTACCGTCGACACGAATAACGTCACTGACCATTAATTTGTATACTCTTTTGAGCCCACTATAGGTCACAAGGCATCAGCTGACGATATGACGTCACTGGGTCTCGACTAGACATCATGCGCAACAGGCCATGCTCTACCTTTACTTTTTGTACCTGTGTGCTGCAAGCATTCGAGTGCTACACCAAGGCGATGCTGAATCATATCAGTGTGTGACGTCACTGGTCATGAGTTTATACTGGTTCACCTGGGCCGCCCAAGTCCACAAAACATAATATCCCGTGGAGTGTCACGGGAAGATATCACATCAATGGTATTCGGCTTAACATCAAACGCAACAGGTCATGTTCCATCTTTACCTTCGGTACCTGTCTCTTGGAAGTATTGGCGTGCTGAATGAAGGCTCTGTCGAATCTCCTGAGTGTGTGACGTCATTGGTCAAGAGCTTTTTACGGGATCTTTTGTACCCCTTATACGGTATAATGCATCAGCTCACGATATGACGTCACTGGCGTTCGACTTAACATCAGGCGCAACAGGTCCTGTTTCATTTTTGCCTTTCGTACCTGTAAACCTATTGGCGAGCTAAATGATAGCTCTGTCGAATCACCTGAGTGTGCGACGTCTTGGGTTTTTACAGGCTATTTTTGGCTGAGTGAAAGCCATCAAGCATCAGCTAACGATGTGTCGTCACTGGTAGTCCACTGACTGTGTGACGTCACTGGCCATAAGGTTTTACATGCCTTTTTGGACCGACTTTACGCCGTTAGGCATTAGATTACAATATGACGTCAATGGTATTCAACTAAATATCAGATGTAATAAGCCATGTTTCGTCTGTACCTTTCGCACCTATTTGCTGCAAGTATTCGCGCGATACATAGAGGCTCTGCCGAATTACCTGAGCGTATGGTGTAACTAGTTATGAGTTAACGCGGGTTTGCTCGGGCTGACTGAAGCACATAAAGCATCAGCTGACGATATAACGTCACTGGTATTCGACTAAACTCCAGGCGCGACACGCCATGTTCCATCTTTACCTTTCGTACCTGTCTATTGCCAGCGTTGGAGCGCTGAATGAAGGCGCTGTCGAGTCTCCTGAGTGTGTAACGTCATTGGTCATGACTTTTACGGGTTCATTTCAAGCCCCTATACGGCATAATGCATCAGCTGACGATATGACGTCACTGGTGTCCGACTTAATATCAGGCGCAACAGGCCGTGTTCTATCTTTACCTTCCGTACCTGTCTATTACAAGTATTGACGTGCTGAATGAAGGCTCTGTCGAGTCTCCTGAGTGTGGGTGAACACTCAGGTGAATCGGCAAAGCCTTCATATAGCACGTGATGCTTGCAGTAGCCAGGTACGAAAAGTAAAGATGGAACATGGCCTGTTGCGCCTGAGGTTAAGTCAAATACCAGTGACGTCATATCGTCAGCTGATGTATTTAACCCTATGGGATGTTCAAAACAGCCCGTAAACACTCATGACCAGTGACGTCACACACTCAAGAGACTTCACAGTCTTCATTCAGCACGCCAATGCTTACAATAGACCGGCACGAAACGTAAAGACGAACATGGCCTACCGCGCCTGGTATTTAGTAGAATACCAGTGACGTCACATCGTCAGATGCTGCTTGATGTCCTTCAATCAGCCCGAGTAAACCCGTGTAAACTGATGACCAGTTGCATCACACGCTCAGGTGATTGGGCAGAGCCTTTATGTGGCGCGCGAATACTTGCAGTAGATAGGTGCGAAAGGTAAAGATGAAACGTGGCTTATTGCACCTGATGCTTAATTGAATACCAGTGACGGCATATCGCTACATGATGCCTAACGGCCTTAGGTGGGCCCAAAAAGGTCCGTAAAAACTCATTACCAGTGACGTCACACATTCAGTAGATTACCAGTGACGACATACCGTTAGCTGATGCCTTTTGGCTTTCACTCAGCCAAAAATAGCCTGTAAAAACTAATGACCACACACTCAGGTGACTCAGCAGAGCCATCATTCACCTCACCAATTGTTTAACAGGCGCGAAAGGCAACGATGGAGCATGACCTGTTGCGCCTAATGTTAAGTCGAACACCAGTGACGTGGTATCGTCAGCTGATGCATTATACCATAAAGCGGGTTGAAAAAGCCCACAAGTCTTAACCAGTGACGTTACACACTCAGGAGATTCCACAGAGTTTTCATTCAGCACGCCAATGCTTGTAAAAGACAGGTACGAAAGGTCATGATGTTACATGGAACGTTGCGCTTGATGTTGAGTGGAATACCAGTGACGTCATATCATCCCGCGATGCTTCATGGGATGTGATGCTTTGTCACATTGGGCGGCCCACGTGCACCTGTATAAACTCATGACCGGTGACGTCACACACTCAGATAGTTCAGCATCGCCTTGATATAGCACGCGAATACTTGCAGTACAGGTACGAAAGCTAAAGATAGAACATGGCCTGTTACGCATGATGTCTACTCGAAAACCAGTGACGTCGTATGGTCAGCTGATGTGGTATGGGCTTCCGTGGGTTCAAAACAGTCTATATAAATTCATGGTAATTAAAACACTGAGGTAATTCGGCAGAGCCTCTGTCGCGCCTGACGTTTATTCCAACACCAGTGACGTCACATCGTCAGTTAATGCCGTATGACCTTTCGTCGGCCAAAAAGAGGCCGACCAATCTCATGACCAGTGACATCACATACAGTCGAATGCCAGTGACGCCACATCGTTAGCTTATGCTTTATGGCCTTCCGTTGGCCCCACAAATCCATAAAAACTCATGACCGGTGACGTCACACATACACAGGTCATTCGGCAGAGCCTCCCTTCACCACGCCAATGCTTGCAGCAGGCAGGTACGAA